CTTTTGCCTCCCTTATAATTCCTCCAAAGGGTCTACTTCTGGTATGAGACTGATACGCGCAAGGGGATATGGCCAGCTCCCAAATCAAACTATTGCACGACTAGCAACAAGTTTTAGATGACTTACAGGCACACCCCCGTTTTTCCTCGTCTTGGTACCGCAATGAATGGGTGCTCAGAGAACCTTTGGCTGGGCACGTTCCCCCTTTCTGCTATATCCTCATACTAGGACCAGCCAAAGGGAATGGGCTTGCAATGGAAGCTTGGCTGCACATACCCGTTCTGAGTATTTCACCGTTGATGCTTGAACAGGCAGCCCGTGCCAAGCCAGCTGGGTCCACATGAGAGTTTCCTTCTTAAGGTGTCAGACAACAAGCAGTGGAGCGCAGGGTCCGTTAAAACGGGGAGGGGACCCAACCACTTTTGTTTGTTCATGGCCCCAATTGATTTGGATTTTCATACACGACGAATATTACCTCTCAAAGGTCGATGACGCTTATCTGGGTAGTTCTCGTTGGAACTCTTCCCCGGAAGGGGTTCTAAACCCTCGTGCATCAATCCCACCAGCGTGTTCGAGCAGCTCTACCCTATCCGTCAGTGTTGCATAACAGTCTCTTCACCCACTTAGTGTGAGGCAAATGTACTCCATCTGACCTCTCCTTCTGGGTGGAGCACCTAACGCAGCTATCTCAAAAACGTGCTCGGGTACTACCCAGACCGTTATTAAGTGCGGCCACTACCCAGGCCGTCCCAATATCTCTAATACTGGGTACAGATCGTCCACTATATAGGATATTCTCAACAATGGTTTGATTACTACACAGATCTGGGTGACTCTGTTTTACGACTCAAAAGTTGGTGAGTATAATAACCAATCAGGATTGGTGTTTGCAGTGAACAAGACCAAGGGTTGATCGCTCAGGCTAGTATGGTATGTCAGACAGGAATAAACATACAAGGGAAAATAAAGAGCACACTTCAATGTATTCTGTTTCTGAACTGCTCAATCACCGTCAAGCAAATATTTAGCGAGGACATAAGAGATTCTCCTCAGCATTGCCTTTTCCCCATCCATCCCAGAAACCAAAGACACAGATCATAGCCAATGAAAATCGTCTCTGTGTTCCCCTCAACATACAAGCCCACTCGACGAACCTAGGAGTTGCCCTGCATACTCAAACAATACCCACCTACTATCATCAAAATCGCCGAAGCATTCATTCAGGCATTCGCCTAATCTCGCGAGCACTCGCAAACGCACATAATCATGCGCTTAATTTTTCTCAGGCCACGAAAGAAACTCGTACAACTATAAGCGAACATTACGATCGAACGAGCATTCGTAAGTCAACACGTTATGCGCTCATACGGTCATCCGACACAGTCACTCAATGAAGTCACACGACGGAATTATGCAATGCAGTCGCACGACGTAGTTACTTGATGCAGTCATACGGCATAATCACGCTGAGCAGTCACGCTGCACAATCAAGCTGTGCAGTCACGCAGCACAATCAAGTTGTGCAGTCACGCAACACAATCAAGCTGTGCAGTCACGCACAATGGAAACGGTAAGGAAAATAAAAAAAGAAAAAGAAAAAAGAAAGTCAGAATCTCCAACCGTATTTGTAGTCTCCTTCCCCGCAGGGCCTAAGTACACAACTACGGGGTTGCATAACTTTATGGCCTTGCCAAGAAATCAGATAAGCCACTCAAYGCAGKGAAATRCACCCAATAGACAGCRTGGTGYCATACCAATACCAAGAATATTCRACTTTAGCCTCGCTAAACACTTAAAATAACCTCCCATACGTCGGGTTCCCTCCGAGGCAAACACACTCTGATTCGTTGTTAYAAGCTKGGGCTACTCCCTTGCTTGCYCGTTTRCACAGTCTACTGAGGGCTTAATTCTCTGTCACGATGCAACATGGTTGGTTAATAACGATCATCCGCACTGATTAACCAAATTAATAAGGAGACCAAAAGTAGGGGAAGCAAAACAAACAAGAAAAGAGAGGGCTATTTTACAATGGCCAGCATCTTATCTAAGGGCTCGGCCAAGACAGTTATGAAAGAGAAGCTTCAATGACCCTCGATAGCAATCTCCTTTATAGGTAGAAAGTCCTATGAGAGGAGGGACGAAACAGGTAGTCATCAGTGTGGGTACGCCAACCGGTAAGTAAAATCGCGTTCAAAGAGCGGGAGACCCCTCCCTCTCGCTGATTTCGCCCATCTCAAAATCCCTTTCCACGCAAGACGGCTGACCTCTCTCACGCCGGCCCCGCGTACGCCAAATGAAATGTGGGCCTTGAATTCTTCAATGGCCTGCCCGCCCGAGAGGCAGTGGCAATGGTCTTAGATAGCATGACGAGCCTGTTATCCGGAGAATGCATGCAAGCCCATCTTCACGTCTCCCCTCGGTACAATGGCATGAGCAGCACATTGGCCAGTACTCGAGTGACCCACGTCACTGGACCCTTGACAACCGCACTCTACATGACCTGTGATCAATGCAGTTCCCGCCGATTAAATAGCCAGATTACATCACCTTCACTTGCACATCTGCAGTTCGCTTGTGCACTGGCAGTGAGGCGAGAACATCACGAGGGAACAACTATCGCGCGAAAAACCATCCAGACATCAGACATCAATCAGAGTTCACTCCAAGATCCTTTTTCAAAGATTGTCTGACCTCAATTGGCTGTGAACTAATTCTCCCCATCACATCGYGAAAACCCACCAAGGCTCAGCAGTTGCAGACTCTGACTGAGAAACGTGGAGACAGCGGTTGACGTCAGTCGCATCCCGCAAGCTCACATCTGGTTCGTTAACGCAGTCTCCCTTTTTCATTGACCTTTTCTCACTCCCCAGACAGCTCCACGTGTCCCCCCTCGTGCGCGTGTCACCCTCTTGTGTTTTTCCCCCGCGGCTCTTCATGGGAGATGCGCCCTCAATGGCTCAGCCTCCTCTTCCTCGGGCCGAACTGGCCTCAGGCCCTCTCTCCACTGGTCCAGCCAGCGGGTCGTTCCGGTGGATCTGATCCAGTCCATGCCAGGATTGGACATCAGCCTCGCGATCGCTCATCTCTGACTCTCCTTCAGAGTCCCTATCATTGTGCTGTACCTCCCGCGTCGTGGTCCCAGTTGACGAGTCGTCCTCGTGGTAGGTGACCGTTACCCGCATACTAGCAGTCACCTCGTCTCGCCTGCACCTTCGCTCGGCCCTGTTGCGCGCCTCGGTAACATCGGCCTGCAGTCCTTCGTTCCTCCTCATTTCCTGCTCCCTACCACCACACACATTAACCTTTAGCCTCACCTCCCCGTCAGGTTTACCGTAGGTCAGTATAGTCTCCACTACAGTGCCCCTCTCATCTTCGCACTCCCACATCCAAGAGTACTTCATATACCTCGGCCTGGAACCGCGCAGGCCATTTCGGTCTGCCATAGCCGCGCTTAGAATAGCCAAGGCCTCTATCCGAATGCATGCGTTCAGATAGCTCACGATAGCCCTCACTACCCTGTATTCTGGTCCCAAATCAGTGGCATTAACGGAACAGGATGACTCATGAACACCCTCTGTTAGTTGCTAGATAGCCAACCTCTTTTCTTTTATAGGTCTCCTCTATACCACAACTCCCGTGTTCTAAACGAGGGATTCGAGTGTTTTCAAATTCTCGTATTTTTGCACTTTATAACAAAACTAAAGCAAAATACACAAAAAGGAGGAAAAGGAAATGCGGTACGCCAACGGTTAAAACTCATTACAACCGGCTGGACACTGTGGTCCCACAACGAAATACCGAAGCCGCACTTTTCACTTCAAAGACAGACCATTGACCTACCCCTATCGGGTGCCCGTATCCGATGGTAAGGAGGGGACTTATGACCCTTCATGCGGGGTGATAAGTCTCCTACCGATGCGGCCGCGGGTCGCCCCTCTTTTGGGGTCCTCCCGCGCGACGCCCAGCCAGGAAGGCCTAGCACAAGCGATTTACGAGGGGTCGTGCCAGCCTAGGCCGTCAGGCAGTAATTGTAGCTCATAAAACGAATCGTCGGCCTCCCCTGCGACGTGACAGAACCCAAAGGGGAAAGCCGCGCTTGAAAACCGGCCTCCCCTCCCGTCAGGAAGTTAATAATAATAATAATAATAATAATAATAATAATAATAATAATAATAATAATAATAATAATAAAGGAAAAGGAAAACTCAATCGATACAGCGGACAACCGTCGCTGGATTACTCCAGATTAAGGCAATGGCCCTGATCCTCGTGCTGATCAGGCGTTCTGCCTTCTTTTCTTTCATTTTTATTTTTCTATTTTCCTTCTACCCCTTTGCTCAGTTTTTCCCTTCCGACAGCAACCTGTTTTCGTGCACCTAACCCATAACCTGGCAACGGGGCACTCGGCGCGCAGTAGAAAGGACCGTGGCCGTCCCTCTACCTTCGCGTCCCTGGGCAAACCCGGCGGCTACCATGACCCACAGGCCGGTAGTGCTCTGCTGTACAGCAGGGCGCTGAGCCTGCGTGGACCAATGGAAAGTCCAGTGGCGCACCTTTTTGTTAGTGAATGCACCAACCGAGCCTATCCATAGTCAGGTACCATCCGGGTATACCAGGAGCATCGCACAGGCTCGGGAACAACCCGACGAGCTACGGGGAACAGACACTAAATAGGAGTCCGACACACGGAGGAGGGTCGGGACACCGTGCCCTCCAACAGCATGCGCCTTTGAACCAGGCTTGCAGGCATCTCGACGCCAAGGTTTGCTTGGGGAGTCGCCAATTCGGGCGTCGCTTGGAGGCGGCGTTGGCGAACGGTTGGAACAGGCCTCGGGATCGACGTCTCCCCGAAGTCTCGTAGAAAGGATCGGTGAGTTCGTCGTGGCAAGAAGGTGGCTGAGTTGTCGACGGCCGGTCGACCGGGTGGCTGGCAGGTTCGAGAGGTGCGTGAGGCAGACGAGACGACTCTGTCGGTCCGCCCTGCTCATGCGCGTCTGCAGACGGAGGCGAGCCCTCGTCGGGAAGCAGTTGGGAACGTCGTTGATGACTAGGAGCTGCTCGGGCTGGGGGCGACTCGAGAGATCTCGTCGGAAACGACTCAGTCGGGAGGCAAGCGCATCATGCCAGTTGTGGAGGAGCGGGAGGGACTTGGAGCAGCGGCTCAGAAAAGGCAAAGAAAGGAAGAAGGGAGTGCTCAGCCACCGATGACAAAAGAGCGCGACTCCGTTGAGAAGAGGAAAAGGGTTGGCGGTGTAGATGATACGCCCCGAGAGCCTTCGACACGACGAAGAACCGGGGAGTCTTCCGGGAAGAGGTCGAAGTCGACAAAGGAGAGGAAACCAGATGAGGGCGACACCGAGGAGGGGGACGACGACATGGAGATTAACCTGAACACATTTAACCTCGACAAAGCGTTCTTCCTGGAGATGAAAACGGGGGTGCAGAGGGACGTCGTGTTGCACGTTCATCTCGAAAGAATATTGCATATTCCAGACAGGGAAGACGCGTACAACCATCGATCCTTGGACGCGTTCCTCGTGGACACCATCGCGGCGACTATGATCGGCTGCTACGAACGTAAAGACATGAGATATACAAAACCGATTTTCGTTCTGGCTCCGATCGTCGCGCCACCAGAGAAAAACAAACATGCTGTGCGCGTGCTGCCTCGAGACTTCGACGCCTCGCACCCCGAGAAGTACTGGTATTATCCTGTGTGTGGTCAGCATAATGCGAGGGCGGTGATGAAGGTGAAAGACCATGTGGTGTTCGGTTACTACAACTTTTGTGAATGACCATTCAGACCAATTTACTTCCCTGACGACGAATTCGACGGCTACGCCCATGTCAGCTGCAAAGACAACCTGAAAGACAAGAAGAATCCACCGAGGTTGCAGATTTTATCCATGCGGGACATTCGTAATATCTGGAAAATTAAGGGGAGACCGCGTGTCGTGCTAGGCAATGCATCCAAGAAAAAGGAGGAGGTGCATAGATGGACTCAGTTCATGGCCTTGGCAATGGAAAAGACACCGTACACCCCTTTGTGGGGCCTGTCGACGGAAGAAAGAAAAAAAAAGGAATGGGCCGAGAAACTTCGGTACTATCTCCCACTAGCCATGGTTGACGAGTGGTCTTTGTGTTGGCTGAAAAGTGCTACGAGGAGTGGTCAAAAGGGAAAGTTCTGGCTTCCAACGGGCGACGTTGGACTGAAAAGTCGCCGACCTATGAGGAGGTGGCCAAGCCAGGACTTTCCACTGTGACTGACAGCCAGGGACTGAAAAAACACGTCTGGTATGTTAAGGTGGACGACGCGTCGTTGAAAAAAGGGAAGGGGAAGCCAAAGAAGGGCGCGGAGGAGAAAACTTACTACGTCCAAGTTCCTGAGCCGGATGTCCACTGCTGGAAGGAATTGGCAGACTTGACAGACCGCGAGAAGAGAAGGTTGTTAAACGGCGTCTTGAACCTTACCGTCGTCTGGGTTCAATCGAGTAGCAAGAAGTTGGCCGAGCAGGGGAAGTACAGTGTGAAGGAGATGGTCGACATAAAAAATTTGACCGGATTATGCTGAGGCTATGGCACTACGTGGAGTTCACGCACGAGGAAATGGAGAAGGAGGAGTGGAATGTCAGATCCTCGTTCTTCACGTCCAAGCGACAATTGTTGGAGGAGTACGCAGTCAAAGGTCTCGACGAAAAGCTTTGGAACGAGAGCAGAAAGTTCTTCAACGACAACACCTACGTCAACAAGTGCCCTCAGTATCTAGGGTGTCAACATGACAGCAATGTCAAGAAAACCGTTGCCTTCACTAACGACCCGCATTTCCCGGCGGAGTGGAAACGTGTGGTGCTATCGGTGATCACCGGAGACCGCGCACAAAGCAAAAAAGGCCCTCGGGACGTTGATGAATACATCAATATTTTATGGAGGACGACAAGCGCCGTGACGACGCTGGCCCCGTTCGTCATCGACCCATTGAATGCCATGGACCATAAGGACGCGCTGGGAAAACTGGGCCATCAGTTGCGCTCCCACACTTGCGTGCTGGACTTGTGCGGAACTGTGGATCGGTCGCACTGGGATTCTGGAGCATTCGCGTCTCTCAGTGAGTTCCTGGGCATCGTTTGTCAGGACTACTGGACATTGGTGGTATTCGTTTTCTGCCTATGAAACCTCTCGTTCATGACATCTTTGTCTGCGTTTGGGGCTACCCGATGCTACACGGGGAAGTGGGTTCGCAAGACGCCAGCGAAGAAGACGCATCAGTTCGGAAACAACATGTGGGAGGAGGCGGATGTTATGCATACCCTTTTCAAAGGCGATGATCCGCGACTGCTGACTCATCCGGTGTACGAGGGAACTGTTTCCGAAGACGATGTCGCCGCTCTCCGGAGGAAGCAGAAAGTCACACCCACGGATGTGGAGGAAAAGCCTTTCAAGTCCTTGCATTTCGCGGACTTTGGAAACCTTACCCAGAGGGGGGTTGTGTACAAGGAATTCGAGAGGAATCCTAATCAGTTATGCAGTCAACTTCTTTTCTTCTGTGGTGTGGCGGATGCTGTGCCGTTCTTGGGCAATCCGCACGCGCAGGTGGCGTGGAATCTGCTTCACCAGGGAAGGCACGTCTTGGCCTTGGAGGGGGACACAACGCAGCTAGAATATACCGTGTAATTTGTTCACCATGAAGTCCAGTCTGGGGCTTACGCGTGTGATTTCCACCATGTCGTCGTCGAGCCCGTATATGCCCCGAATAAGGATATAGTCTTCAAGTTGACTTCGAAGAAAAGGCGCCAGGTGTACTCCTTTCTTTTCGGCCATCAACCGAAGTGGAGACTAGACGAGCTGTTCGTCATGCGAAAGGAAGTCGCCATTGCAGTCCTCCAGGGTACCACGGGGTCAGTTGCACCAGCGCAGTGGGGTTCATGAAGAGGTCGGAATATGTCTTTTTCGATGAAGGTGTGGTCGATCCAGTCGACTTCACATTGGACAACTATAGACTGGCATTTGGTGAGGACGATGACTTCAATATCGAGACTGAGCAGGAGGAGAGCGTTGAGGACGACCTCTTCGATTTCGACGACCAATTAACCATCTTCAACGCTCACGTCGTTTCTGAGTCGCCCTCAGTAGGCAAATCGGGGACACCTCTCGCTACACTCACCTCAGGCGGTCCCACACCCATGTCCTCCTCAGCGCCTGTCAAGAGGGGTGGGTTGTCCCGTCTGAGGACTTCGCTGGTGGAGACACTACGTCTCACACCGCACCCCGAACGTCTTCAACCCGGCCGACCAGTTCCTCCTGACCATCCACATCTCTCGGCTCCTGCACAACCCTACCACATGGGTGACAAACACACCTTTTCCAAAGACGAAGATTGGGGTCATGATATCATGTGGCACCCTCACCATTTCCAGCCAGTCCTTCTCGACGGTAACTGGGCAGTGGCTGTGAGGGACATGAGTGGAGGTCGGGAATATGACGATCGTTGGGACCTTGACACTTTCAAATCTCGAGCCTACGAGGGGGTATTGGAGAAATTGGCTGAGGTCAATCGACGACCCAAAGACGACCCTGCTCTGCGGGCATACGCGGACACGTTGTTCGATTTATTGCAGTCAAATAAATGGTTGGAAGTATCCTCCGCGTTCTACAGCCTTCCGTCGAGCCTGTCGTTCAATCAAGTGAGTTGGGAGTTGCCCGCGATCACCCCGATGTTTGGAGTTATGGTGCACAAGTCTCATGGAAAGGACAACGAAGGGGATGGTCAGGGTGGCGGTCAACGCGGAACCGAGGGGGGTATTGAACAACGCTCGACGAGACATGGGTCTGCGGGGCGCAAAGGCGGCGGAGAGGGGAAAAAGGGCAACAGAGAGAAGAAAAAGCCTCGCAGCGGAGAGAAGAAAAAGCCTCGCAGCGGAGAGAAGACAAAGCATCGCAGAGGAGACGGGCAGGGGTCCGACGTCGACGGGGATGAGGACGGTGCGGCATTGGCGGTAACATGCAGCACCTCGATGGACACGGGAAACGACTTCAGGCCTGGGTGGACGCCGCGGGCTGGCGAGCAGGACTCTGTCATAAGCTCCACCAGTGCGACACATTTTATCGATAAGGTTGGCGGGTCAGTTGTTGCGAAGGATGGCACCAGCCCAACTCAGCTCCAGACGCAATTGGCGGATTGTCTCGGATCAATTTGACCCACGGTAACGACGTCGATGTCCGGAACACAGTGCCTTGCGGAAAGCGTGACGACAACACACCTTGGGTCCGTCTGCAACAAGCTAGAACCATTTTCCGTTTCACCACATCAGGAAGTTCGGATTAATCCGAACCTGGAGGCCCATATCGTCAAGAGAGCACAGCGGTCCACGGAACCCGAATGGACGGTCCGAGTTTCTGAACACCCTGCAGGCGAAACTCGGATTCATCCGAATCAGGAGGACGTGTCTTCAGTACCAGTCGATCGGTGTAAGGACGCCGTTACATTGTGCATGGAAATCTACTGGGAGATGCAGGTAGACTGTCCGTCTTTCGTAGTCAGTGTTCGAGACAATGCCATGGGCTCCCTTGCGGGTGAGTTAGCGCCCAATTCCAACGTCCACTCCCGCACACAGGGAGACGAATGCCCGGTTACGGTGCGTGCTTCGTTGATGGTCTTGAACGACTCTGCGGTGAAAGTGGAGACGTCGGCACCATCGGACTCTGTCGGGGCACGGATGAATCCGATCCCGGGCGATGTGAGCATGTCCCTCGATGATGATGCTTTGGAGACAGCCGTAATTCGGATGCATGAAGCAGACCGACGATGGATTCGAACTGGCAGGCGTCGAGGGTTGTGGACATGTCACTGCTTTCGACAAAGCGGACGGGTCCTCGCCACTGCATCTCGCCGATAACGGGGCTGATCCCGAACCCGGCGACGTGAGCATGACCCGCGACACTTCCGGAAATGAGATGCGGGCCGTCGACTTGGACCAACGACTCGAACCGGGTTACGAGGACCCCTTGTACTCCGGCCTTCACGACGTGGCTATGAGAGAGGATATTATGAAAAAGGCCTGTGACGTTGTTGAAGATAAATTGTTCTACTCAAGTGACGACGACAAAAACACAGCGCACGAGGACAACCAGTTAAGGGGGGAGGAAGTGTTGTTCGACATCCGCGGAACCTTGAGCCCGCCACAATACGACGCTGGGGCAATGGAGAAAACACAACCTGTCAATGTTGTGGACATCAACGCTCTTAGTCAGGAGAAGAGCGGAATGAATTTTTCCGTCGCAGTGTCGTAGCAAACACTCTTACACGGGTATTTGCCGTCCTTTTTAAAGGTCGCACTGGGTGCGTCCTTGATCAATGAAATGCGCTGATGAAGTAAATCCCGTCAGGGCGCTTATCTTGGCAGCCTCGCTCTTGGCGAAACTCCGAATCGACAATGGCCAGAGAGAGAGTGAGTGGGGCTCACATTATTGTGTGGCACTATGAGGTAGCCGGTGGTCATCGACAATACTAGGCTAGCGAAATGGCGCCAAAGCCGTGAGGCCCGGTTACTCATCCTTCTGTAATTTTTTTGTTGATTATATTGTTCTTTTATTTTATAAAGGTTAGATTTACTTCGTAACTAGTTCGGCCTCTGGCAGGACACAACGCAAATTGTGTGTCCGAAATTGGATTTAACGAGGGTTTCGCGTTGAAAAATTCAACGCGCGTTGAATTCGCGTTAAACTCCCGTTCGAACGCGAGTTGGACGGGAATTAACGGGGTCCGGGATGATTTTTTTCCTGGGCTAAAAATTATCAAAAAAATATATATATATATATACCGGGCAGTTCTATTTGACAATATATATATATATATATATATA